CAGTCTTCCTTATTCACTGTCCAGGTTTCGCATGCATATGAGGTTATTGAAAATACCATGGCTTGGGTCCGGTGCAGCTTAGTCTTCAAGCTGACATCTTTGCTCTTCAACACTTTAAAAAGGTCTTGTGCAGCAGATTTGCCTAATGCAATACATCATTTGATCTCTTGATTGCTGCTTCCGTGAATGTTGATAGTTGATCCAAGAAGAAGTCCTTGACAACTTCAATCTTTTCTACATTGATAAGAATGTTTTTTATTGGTCCAATGATGAGGATTTTTGTTTTCTTTACATTGAGATGTAATCCATACTGAAGGCTGTGCTCTTTGATCTTCTTCAGTAAATGTTGTAAGTCCTCTTCACTTTCAGCAAGCAAGGTTGTATCATCTGCATATCACAGGTGGTTAATGAGTCTTCTTTCAATCCTGATGCCACGTTTTTCTTCATAGAACCCAATTTCTCATATTATTTGCTCAGCATATAGGTTGAATAAGTGTGGTGAGAGAATACAACCTTGTTGCATACCTTTCTTAATTTTAAAACATTCAGTGTTCCCATGTGCTGTTCGAACAACTGCTTCTTGGTCCACATACAGTTTCCTCATGAGCACAATTAAGTGTTCTGGAATACTCATACTTCGCAATGTTGTCCATAGCTTGCAATGATCCACACAATTGAAAGCCTTTGTATAGTCAATAAAACACAGGTAAACATCTTTCTGATATTCTCTGCTTTCAGCCAAGATCCATTGGATATCAGCAATGATAACCCTCGTTCCACAGCCTCTTCTGAATCCGGCTTGAACCTCTGGAAGTTCTCTGTCATTGTATGATTGTAGCCATTTCTGTATTACCTTTAGGAAAACTTTACTCGCACGGGATATCAAAGAGATTGTCCAATGATTTCCGCATTCCATTGGGTCACCTCTCTTTGGAATGGGCACACATATGGATCTCTTCCAATCAGTTGGCCAGATACTTGTCTTCCAAATTTCTTGGCAGAGATGAGTGAGTGCTTCTTATGCCGCCTCACTTTGTTGAAAGATTTCAATTTTTATTCCATCAGTTCCTGGTGCCTTCTTCTTTGCCAATTCCTTTAATGCACCTTGGACTTCCTCCTTCAGTATCATTGGCTCTTGATCATATGCTACCTCTTGAAA